CTCTTCATTACGATCGCGTACGTTTTACTTCCGTTTTTACACACTCTAGTCCATCAACGTACATCAGATAATCCTTCGCAAAATACGCTTCCGCGATGCATTCGTATCTTGCGCGCGTGCGCGCTCTATTATTCAATCATACATTCACGATATTCTCGGCCGTGCTTCCCTCCGGGGGTCTTATTAATAGCACTTATGCGCATTTACATTGAGTTATTACCCCCTGGGTGGATGAGCTGCTGCCCTGCTAGTTCGTTGCGAGATCGGCGAGATCCCGCGCCTCGGCCGTTTTGGCCCCCGGCCCAGTGCCTCATGAATGATGACCGATCAACATCTCGTGCGGCCAAACGATAGCGATCCCGCTGCCGTTGTTGCTGCTCATACTACGTTAATGACGTTAATGGCCGACGGTGGTGGATACCGATTACGTGGTGGCCAATAATGTCACCCGCACATCGCACATACCGCAGGCCGCCGCGCGGAGAGTGAAAAATGTATTTCGAGCCGTGTAAATAAAGCCGTGTCGGTGGGCTCGTCGTTCGTTCGTTCGTCGAGTCTTACGAAAGCGAACGCGAACTGGCACCTGGATCGTTCCGACGAGATATGAGCTGCCCCGCTCTGAAAAGCATTATTTGAAAAATAACACTTTCACGATACGTCGCCCGCACTAATTGCGAGTATCATGAGCGTTGTTTGCCGCGTACGTTTGGCAGATTACACCACCGGACGTAGGGCTGTTTGCCCGATTTGGGAAACGGACGAGCAGGGAAGAGAGGACGGGCTAATTTAACTTTTCGTTTTAAATTATGGAAATGAGTCTCTCACCCTCTCTCTCCCACCGCGATAAAATTCGCAAAGTTGTGCGTCTCTAATATCGCATAATCCTGTTGTTCGATACCGTCGTCGTGTACCACGTGACGCAACACCGACAATCGCGGCTGGATGGTATCCGCGAGAGATACGTGTACCTCGAATGAGTACCGGGGTTTAAAATTACCTTGGACGTAGAAAACGTCAAAAGAATATTTATTTTTGCCGACTTATCGTTGTTCCTTGCGGTGATTTAAATTAATTTTTATTTTTTATAATTAATTTGTCCGGCAATGTGGGAAACATCGAAATAGCATTCATTACTCAAAACTACTGTGCGTTTGCGAAAGGATGCTGTCTCTCTTCGCTTGCCAACGCTTTCCAATTTTTCTCTAAAATTTTACGTCGCGTTCACTCTTGAAAACTATATAACTTGTTATGTTGTAATTAATATTCTCTCCTAAGGTTTCCGTTGAATTTTTTTTTACAATACTAGCAACGTTATCTCTAGCTCGCTTTCGTTTCTGCAGCGTCCACGCTGCAGATGATACAAATAAAAAGATCTTATCGTATAGCGCATAAACGGAAACTCCACGACGTTTCGACTCGCTGTTTTAGTCATGTAGGTGCATCGCGTACATTCGCGAAAGTGCGTTTAGTCTTTTATCTTGAAAAATACGCCGGATGCAATTTCATATTTTATGAGCGTTGCGCGCGTGTGTTTCGTCGCCCGTGTTCGAAACGAAGCAACAGTTGTTGCCTTTCTCCGCCGTTATTTCCTGTCGTAGCCTAATCAAGAATGTTGACAATTCCACGTTTCCGAGCTATTCGTTGAAATACACGTTGGTATTTTCAGTGTCCATTCCGTTCCTATATTATCGCGAAAATCCAGCAACGAATAAAGGGAATGTCGCGTAGCGACATACTCACATTATGAATAAATGTTGAATACATTATTAGCAACAACAGTTTGATTATTAAAAATAATAATTTTAAAATACACATATTGTATTACTGCATTTAGTTGGTCTCTTTTTGTACGTAAATTTTTAGTATATTAATATATATATATATATATATATATATATGTGTGTGTATATGTATATGATATGTTTTTATCGTATACGGGGGAATATGCATGAGCCCGTTGCGTAGGGTTTATAAAGCATATGATAAAAAATGCGAACGCTTGACGCGATATCGCGTAGCATGTGTTATGAACTGAAGTTAGTGCGAAAAATTCATTTTATATTATTCATATTAGTTATGCGCGCGGAGGTACATGGAGGCATGCCGAAATTCTGTGCGAAATACGTATGGCTTGTGGCGTCTTGTGAAACCGTAGCAAAGCGGAATTTCAGGTTTTCGAAGCACACAGTGTATGACGATATAAAGTCCGCGCGCGCACAACCGGTGCATAAAGTAAAAGCGGACCGGGATGAAAGGAACGGAGAACCAGCGAGAAACGTGCGTCTGAAGGGTTGCCTGATTCGTGTGGAAGCTGCGAGAGCACCTCGGTCGGTTGTGGATAGAGCGATAGCTACCTATTTCGCTTTCGCTGCTCACTCGTCGAGTCAGACAAAAAGCGAAGGAGGTGAAAGAAAGAGGAATCATTTGTTTGACGCTTTAGGACGCTCTGTGTCCTCTCAAGCGGTAAACAAAAGACACAGATAGATCTTTTATTAATATTTTAATCGCATTTTATTCGGCTTTCCTAAAAATTACAATCTTGCATCAATCTCGCAGCCTTTTAAAATGCTTCTGCTGCCGTGTGAATGTTAAAAATTAAGATTAATATAAAAAAAGATAGAGTTTCTGCCTCTTCCGAGAAACAATCCGCTCCAAATTGATCGACTATATATACGCTATAATACGCCCGGCAAATTCTGACGTTGTAATTTAGCCGCACCGTAAATAACAAGCCTCCGTCTGATTAGCTCGAGTCTCGGGTTGTAGCGTTTTCAGAGTAGATTACGTGAAATATTTGCGAAAGTAAGCACGAGGAAGAAAGCGGAGCGGCGATTACGTTTTGACACAAAGATACAGCGCGTGATTTGTATAAATGGAGTACGTCACGGTTGAAAGCGACTCGAGGGAGGCACGGCGGGCTATTTCGCTAACGGTTATACTGGTTATAACCGGGGATAGGAGGACGTCGCGCCTTCCGCGGATCCGTCCGAGGATGACGCTATCTCGACGTGACGAATGAGCAGCTTCCCGGGACCATCTCGCGGAGCAGCGGACGCTCGAGAAAATCATCCGCATGTTCCGGAAAATTCTCCCGAATAAAATTTCTAGTAGATCGTGTGCGACCATACAGAATGTTTTCCAGGTTTCCCACGCTTTCCCTCTCATGTAAGTTTGGAGTGGATTTTTCCATAAATGTAAAAATGATAATTTATTCTGATGTTTATAATGTAAATTTTTCTAAGGTAAAACTTCTCTCTCTCTCTCTCTCTCTCTCTCTTCTTTTTTTTTTTAATAAAAACAACAATGGTAATTTGTGGGTTGAAGAAATGAAAAACTAAATTGCTGCTGCAGTTTACAAGATTAAATCTGCATTTTAGAAAAAGTTTTGAAAAAGTTTAGGTTTAATTGAATTTCCGAAGAAGATTGACTATACATTATTCAAAAATTTCAAAATTATACGAACTGAAATGTGTGAAGGATTTGAGAAATCTTCTTTGTGATACAATTTGTTACAGATACGCGTTCAATCCTTGTTTCTGCGAATACAGCTCATTACGAACAGCATCGATCGCGTTAGAATTACGATAAAATTGTTCTTGGTATAAACAAGTAGAGTCGTTGGTGCAAATTCTCTTTTTTCTCTTTTCTTGCGTTACGGTGTGTCGCGAGAAAAGACCTTTGAATCATTAACTGTAGACTCACTTCCAGAGACCCACTTCCTATCTTTTTCCCAGAGTGAATTTTCTTGTAACAAAAAGATATTTAACAATATATAAAAACCGATATCAAACACCATTCTAACTGATAACAAATCAATGTCTAATTATAAGAATACATATTTTTCGCTGTAGAGAGAAAAAACACTTTATCTACAAGTCATTGTGTTATCCAAGTTAAAGTAGTTAAACAGAATAGAATACCATTCAAAAAAAAAAAAAATAATATATCTCAAACACATCTCTACAATAAGCAAACATTAAATTATCTTCAAATTATGAAAAAAGGATATCTCTAAAATCTAAGCCCATAAACAATAAAATCTACGTAATTTAAAGAATAGATATGTTCATTTTAAATCGCTATACGTAAAACGTGCTGTGTAAAGTATATTTGGAGGAAATGAAAATCGCGCGAAGTTGCAGTTCGTTACGCGGTTATCACAATATTTTTGTCTACGCGCACGTCTGATAGAATAATTATCGTCGCGCGGCATTCGCTGTTGTTGCTAATCGGATGCTTGGGGAGGGCGCGAGATTACGCGTAACAAATTGCGACGTTAACACAATCGTTTCCTCGGCTTTCCACGCCCGGTGTGCGGCGCTGCACTTAGCCGGGCGCTTGCGACGAAAGCGTCGCCTTTGTAAGATAAACGCCCGACCGAACTTGTAATATCTTGTGACACCGCGCGCACACGCGCGGTTTAACGTAATGCGTCTTTCTGATTGCAGCTCGTTCTAACGCACGGAAGACGCGTATTATGTGAGGAGGAAGCCGCGACGAGGGAAACGAAGATGTCCGCCGTCAGCGTCGTCGCATGGTTGCTCGGCGCCGTCGCTCTGGCTGCGATTAATAATGGTGAGTCTTTCTACTTGAGGATTACGGATGGTAAACCGGAAATTTGCCATAGAAAAGGTCTGTAAGCATCGCGCTGTAAGAAAAACATTCATGGCAAGAAGCTCGGCGTATATCATCATTATTATTATTATTATTATTATACATACAAAATTAAAATTGATGGTTCTTTTAAAACTTAAGATGAGGTTTGGAGGGTCTTCCATTTGTGATATTTGCAGATCTTTTAGGATAAAATTTTATTTGTTATCATTATATTAATAATCTTCTCGATCATAACTCAGCCATACGTAATTATTGAATGCAGCGAAAAATACAATCGATATGAATATATTTAATTTAGTATTTATGGAATTCTGTAATCTTCTGTATCTATTTGATTACGCGCTGTTTGTTCCGATAGATACAATCACGCATTGAATTTTACGAGAAAAAAAATCAAAATTACAGTAATATTTAAAAAAAGTTTTGCTTATTTCCGGGCATTGGTTAAACTAATTGGAAAATAAAATTAAAGTGCCTGCTAATTTCACTTTCGTGCCGTGATTTGATAAAAAAAAAAAAATTGACGGATTTCAGCATTGAAAATATTGTGAACATATTTTAAAGAAATTGCAAAAATAATAGTATTACAATTACATAACATATAAAGCATGATTTTATTGTCCGTCCAACAATATTCAGGAAGCGAAAAACAAATATATTTATACATGTTCGTTGCGTTTTAAAATATACAAAATGAACAGTTTTATAACAGCTACAATTTATCCATTTGCTTTTGGTTTTTGCCCTCTTTTGTATTTTTTTATTACGAGCCGCACGAAACATGAAATAACTCAGAGATATGGTCGAAACACACGGTTGAATTATGGCGATGGCGCGTTTGATGGATTCGCGTAGCGCGTTGTTTGTATTATGAATGTAATAGTGTCTAAATGAAATATGTATACTGTGATATTTTTGAATGCGTTGTACTGGCTTGTAAGAATATTCAATAAATATTGTGAAAAAAAAACGATATTAAAAATATGTGCAAATGAATCGGGATGGGAATTAAGCGGTCAAACAAGCAAACATATAAGCAGCCAAAGTATGTCTCCGATTTTCCGAAAAATGCAATCTTTATCTCGATACATCGGGAATATCGAAAGTAGTCGAGATGTAGCATACATCCATATATATATATATATATATGATTTAGAATTATTTATATCGACTTGGAGCTCGCGATAATCTTGTTTAATCCAATTCCTCCTTCTGTATCTGTGCTACAAGTAGGAGGACAGATATCCAGAAACGTTTCTGGGTCGGACTTATTTAATTTATTAATATCATCAACATTTTATCATATATGCGCACTTTTTGGAGGATCACTTATCTCCAAACAGCGTGACGAACGTTTTTGGCGTTTTTCATTCAACTCGCTGTATATATTCGAAGCGCTGTATATATTTCGTTCAACTCGGTAAAGTTTTACCGGTCGCACGTTTCGATGCAAGAAAAATTGGCGAAATACGTGAAATTCAAAAATTAAATTTGCTGATCCGCGCGGAAGCCTCAAAACGTGTCTCTCCATCGATTGTTGCGACACTGCCGGGCTTGTTTATCGGGTCCACGTGGAATGATATTTTTATTGTTCCGCGAGAAGAAACGGATCGGGACGTCCCCCCCCCCCTCCCCTGATCCACCCCCGCACAACGCGAATCATCCGTTTCAAGAGGAAATTCGTGTGATGGCATACAAAATTCGAGGCTCGTCGGGCTTCGATTGTCGTCGGGGCACAATGATTTCGAATCAACGTGTATCCGCGTTTGTACGCGCGGATACGCACGCGGATGCGACTCCTCGTGTGCGTGGTGGCGCCTATTCAAGTATGATTGCTCGCTGATCCGCGACTGTACGGCTCTCCCGTTTGAACGAGAGCGAAAATACGAAAATGTAGAAGCCCGATCCGTTTTCAATGGCCGACCTACTGGGAAAGGAAGTTTCATTATTCGCTTCCAATTTCGAAAGTCGAACGATACCATCTTTAATAGAAGAATCATTCTTGAAACATCGCTAAAGGACGAGGGAGGCGTTTATTAAATAAGGACGCTTATTTATTCATGAAAGTATCGACTCCTGTGAGTTTACAACAAATTAATTCAATCTTTCATCAACATTCTATATATATGTATATATATATATATATAGAATTTTATTTATAAATCTACCACAAATTAAATATCCACTGCGCGCGCGCTATTTCTTTTCTTGTACTATATTTTTCAATTAAATATAAAGTTTAGATAAATTTATCTATCAATTTATGTCGCAAACTATGTACATGTCTACTTCGTATTATGAACCATTATCGTATAATATTAAGAAAATTATTTACACAATCTTCAATATTAAATCATATAATAATTCAAAGCAAATACGATATAAAATATTTTCACACGTATAATTTTCTTATTTGTAATAACATGTACAATATGTATGATATAAAAATTGTCAAAATATACGATTTCCGCAGTGAAGTGTGAAGTGCAATGAAGAAATTAAATGCTACAGACGCGACGTGCATCTGTTATTTATGTTTTTAAACAGAAAAAGTAGAAATTAATATAACACTTATTATTATATAATTATATAATTATATTAATTTTTTGATACACACAACGTACACAGAAACGATCTCCGTGATGACAGCCGCTCACGAAATACGCGAAGTGAGAGACTCAATCAGCATTGCGGAAAAACGACAACAATAAACTTCGATATTTTCAAGTATCGATTTAATATAGTCTTTTTTTTTTTTTTTTTTAAAGATAAACGATAGATTTATATATTGAAACTTGCGAAACAAGTGAAATGCGTACGTTTGTGTGGCATTAACCTACGCTATCGTTTTAATCTTTTAATGAATCCGATTTCATTCTAGAATCCGCTCCGTACGTTCCTTTCTCAAGATTCTCACGCGGCTTAGACACGCTCGTTAGATCGAGATCATTAAAACGATGGATGCAGCAACCAGCGTAGAGTGTACAGAGAGAGAAAGAGTTGTGTCTCTTTCTTACACTCGCGTAAACAACGCGTACAGATACGACACGATAGTTCTCGTCTCGAGCTGCGGGCAATAAACACCCCTTTTCCGTGCAAACAATGCAGCGACACGGGGCGAAAAGTTAACGAGATGCGCGGACCAAACTCAAACTCATCTTCGCTACTTCCATCCCTTCGGTACTTGTCCTCCTGAGCGAGCATCCGACGAGCGGCACATAGAAACGCGTACGTATACACACGCAAACACATACGTCATTTGGAGGGTAGTTCCGTACACCGGCGGATGTTCGACAGCTGTAGCAGCACGTCTCGCTAGCATGACTCGTTACGTGTTTCTATACGTATACTTTCGATGGTCGAGAGCGATATGGGCTCCGATCGGCCGTTACGAGCTATTCCATAAGACAGGTAAGCCCATGAGCGAGCGGAGACCCGTAATTACGTCACCAGAATTTACCGAACGTTCGTTGACGAAGCGACCGCGCTGGATATGACATTAAAGACGACCGCGTGCGAGATTTACATTAAAGTCGCCGAGTTACTTTCGGGGTTATCCATAAAGTGGATATATAAACGCGAATGCGACTGGCAACGACTACAGTTGCCACTTCTCTAGTTTTTGATCAGAGACTCGGGCTTTTTGAACGAATCTCCAGCTAACTCCTCTATCTTCCGATGGTCTTTCTTTAGTACGAAAAAGCAATATAACAGTGACATTTATATATATATATATATATATATATATATATATATATATGTGTGTGTGTGTGTGTGTGTGTCGCGCATTTACTTTAAAGTATACGTACATCCGTCGATACACAAAGCCGCATGGCGTGTCTAGAGTGCTAGAGATATACGTCGTTACGCGCGATCGATGTCGTTATATTTTTCTTCGACCGTGAGTATATACATTGGGCCTTGTTTTTCCCGGGTATAATGAACCTCGTTTGTCGTTTAAACTTCGTCTCACTTACACAGACCACTTTCGACTAGCGGCTCGCCGGGCTATCGACGATGTTAACGTTGCAGTGCGTTCGAGCATAAAAGTGTAGTTGCCGGTGTAGTTACGTAAACTGGCGCCTTCGCCTAGTGCTTGAGAGAGAAAGAGAGAGAGAGAAAAATAAAGAGACGGAGGGGGGGGGGAAGAAGGGGGATGGTTGCCGGACGGTTATTATAAACGTCGAGCGAAGAAATATTGACATAAGTTGGGTACTGGTTCGAAGCGAGAGAGAGCCGCCTCTTTTACCTTACTTACTTAACTACGTGTCGTGCCTCTTCGTCCGTTGGGGTATCTCGGCGTTAACCATAAACGCCACTTTCTAGAGGAAGAATTCATGTCGCCGGCCTTACTTTGACGTCAGTAAGCTGTTACTCTTCTCTTGTTTCCGTGTAAAAGAGATTTGTCTCGCGGAAAGGGATGATGGAATAACAGGGGGAAAATAATTGAATCCGTCATTGCGGGGAGGATACGTGTCACAACGGGAACTTTTTAGCAGTAAGACGAGGCTTCTGAAATGGCTTACCGTTCACTGCTCCAAACACACAAAAATTGTCTTTTTGCACGAAAATGACATCTGAATATTTTTGATCATTACGCAGAAAAAAATTAGACAACTCAAGACTGTAGATTTTCATGTAGAATATTATAGAAAATTAGATTATTATAATCTCTCCAAAGAATTGTAGTCTCGATTTGATTGAATTTGCATTTTTGATGCGAGTATAGATATTCTCACATATAAGCAAGAATATTAATCTTTATTTAGAAGATTTTTAATCTTGAGTTGAGCAAAAGTAATACTTGTATCAATATAAATTCAATTATATCAAGATTAAAATTTTTATACATAAGATACATAATATTCTTGCTTACACATGAGAATATTTGTCTTGATTTAAAACCAATTTTTTTTCTATGTATAAATGTATTTTCAAAATTTATAGGATATTGTGTT